TAGAAGACTACTTTTCATTTTAGTAGAAAATATAGGATTTTCTAGGAAGTATACAAACATTTACATCAAAACACTTACAAACATTTTCATAAAACAGATGCAAACTTTTGACACTAAAATACTTATGAACTCACCAGCTTAAATGTTGATCTACTCTTTCAAAATAACTTGTATTCTCAGGTCACCAGTAGACAGGTACACTGGACCAGGTTTTGAGAAGACGAAGCATGTTCAAGACTCGTCTTTTATTTTGATATTATTTTTGGTGTCTTACAACTATTCACAGAACACACATGTGTAAACTATATTATTAATGCAATGGATGATGTTGTTGTTTGTTTTACTATTGTGCATTGTTATGATACTGTACATGACGTCCTCCGCCCCCGAACGTTTCCGCCGTTCTGGTTTGGGGTGTGACATACGGGCCCCACCCACACTCACATAACGGCCCCCGCCCAAATGAGATACGGGCCCCGTCCACACTCGCATAACGGGCCCCACCCAAATAGATACGGGCCCCGCCCACACTCAAAATACGGGCCCCGTCCAATAAGCATACACATTTAAGCATATACAAGTATCACACATAGAACAAGTATATCAACATAATCAACCAGGGTCGGCCTTGGTGCCTTAGACCCGCTAAACCCGGTGATGAAAACTCACTACGAAAAGATGAATGAAGTAAGTGATCCCTGACTGTTAATCCCACGCTCCCCGAGCTATCAATTGCCAAATAAAAGCTAAATAACATTAGGGATCTACACCATAACCAAAAATTCCTACTTGAGGTAAAAAAAAGACTATTTTACCCCTAACATAACTTGGTCCAAGAATAAAGCCCTAAACCACATTCCAATGGCCTAAAAGTAAAACAATCCAACAAGGCCCAACATATGGCCCAATTTCCAATTGGGCCCAATTCCTTCACATGGGCCCTAACCTAAGGCCCAATAACGCTTCCCTAACCCAAAGGTTCGATCCCAGATGGACCACTAAGGCCCAAGACACAAAGTTCAAGAAAGTAAGCCAAACCGAGGCCCAAACTACGCAAGCCCAAAACCATTGAGTACGCGGGGTGTACTCAATTGTACGCTAAGCGTACAGGCTGCATGGATTGTACGTTGTGCGCACGAGCTTGTACGCCTAACGTACTCACTTATTAAGCCAATCTTCTAAAAAACTATTACATCCTTAAGACAAAAGGTTCCAATCACAGATCTGAGTCATATGAAGTGTCTTAAACCATAAAGTCGACAACTTGGTGGCTTGTATGCCCCCAAATGAATCCAAACTCGAAATATGACAATCTACTTCCATAAAATGACCAATACTCATGCATGGATGGTTCAAAGCCTCAAAGATGGCAACTTTATGACTCTAGGACTGAGATAATACCAAGAGTAGCAACTCTAAGCTCCAGAAATGACAATAGCTCACAAGATCTCATCCATGGGACCAAAAGACCCAAAAACTCAAACAAGGAAGATCTAAGCATTAACAAAGCAAGTTATGAGCTTTATACCTCAAATGAATGCCAAATGATGGAGATAATTCATATCTACAAGCTCAACTCCAAAGCCTCTCCTTCACCAACTTCTTCTTCTTCTTTCCAAGGCACCAAACTAACCAAAAATGCACTCCACAAGATAAAAAACACACTAAGATGATAAAGGGGGCGATTTTAGGGTTTTTGGACAAGAGAGGCTGATAAGGAGGCTGACCCATGGGACTTAATGACATTATATAGGGCTTGAACCCTAAAAATTAGGGTTTTGGTCATGACCACATACGTTGGGCGTACCTCTTCGTATGCTAAGCGTACGTGCATGGCTCCGCGATTCCAAATGGACCAATTACGCCCCACGTACGCCAGGCTTACGCCCAGTGTACGGCCTCAGCAAGCCCACTCAAATAAATCCCAATACTTCTAATCCCACACAACTTGCATAATTAAATTATTAGATAAATGATTAAATAATTAAATAATACCTTGAAACCATCGGGCGTTACAATTTAGATCCACAAATGTAAGACAAAGCTTTGTGAATTCCCCAAAAATACCCCACACAACAATACAAATACAATGTATGCACACATGAGCCTTCAGTTTGACTGGATCGCCTCGCAAGGCCTACAGTATAGTTGGACCGCTCCGTTAGGCCTACAGTCTGACAGGACCGCCTCACAAGGCCTACAGTACAGACCACCTGGGTATCTTGGCCTAGAACACAACACAGTCCCGCCTCAACCCAACCATAATATGTCGACATATGCGAACAAATAATCAATAACCAGTAAACACATGTAATCATACATATCTACAAATCTAACAGATTACTACATCATACCAACATCCTACACACAAGGATACATACTACAGTACAAAGTATTGTGAGATAACTCACCTTGCAGTCTAGCAGATAACAGTACAACTCACAAAATTCAAGAACTTGTACTACGAGTCACATATACGACAATCAGGGACCAATCCTCAATCCATAGCCCCAAAGCTCTCAAGTTGACCTAAATTCAAATTGATCTAAAAGTCAAACATCAACGGTCAAAAGTCCATAATTCGGTCACAACGTCGTGGCTAAGCATTTGTCACGTCGTGGTGACCTCACGAAAAAACAGTCGCAAAGACCACCTAACGCCACGTCATGGGAGCTTAACCTCCACGTCGTGGGAACTGTTCTGGCCAGCTTAATGCATTAAGCTCTTAATCCTTCTACTTACATATCCATACTTTGTAGAAGGCTTTCTTACACCCAGTGAGTCATAAAAATCGATGTTTTATAAACATGCATGTATTGAAATCTATCTAGGTAAAAAATGATGAAAATGAGGTCAAAACCTCATGCAAGTAATCAAAACTTAGTCATACTTCAAATCTGGAACATATAACCACAAGGGACCTCAAAGATCCATAAAGTTGCAAACTTTATGGAATCCCACCACACCAACTGACCCAGTCATGAAGAACAAAGCATAAATGCCTAGATCTATAAGTATAACACATAAATATTGGATCTTGAAGACTCACAATGGTCCAGAATATGAGCTAGAATATGGAGGAGGAGCTTGCTTGCCGAATCTACACTTAATGGACACCTTATTCTCCTTCAAAGCACCAAAATCTCAACAAAAGCTTCAAAAACTCACCAATGGGGGCTAGGGTTTAATTAGGGTGAAATGGAGGTGATGGAGGTTGAGGGTGTGCAAACCCTAGCCATCACATCCCTTAAATAGGGCTTAAGCCCCAAAAAATTAGGGTTTCGCATGTAGGTGGCTGCCACGTCGTGGCCAATATCTTGTCACGTTGTGGCACTCAAGAAAAATATGGGTTTCATATGGTGACACCACGTCATGGTGTTATCATCACCATGTCGTAGCTACCACAAAAATCTTGTATTTTAAGTCTCAAATGCCACAACAACAAAAAAAACAATTATATCTGGAACTTGGTGTTACAGAACCTTTGTTCGTTATTCTCTTGACTGTAATTAACGAATAGTAAATAAATTTGATTCGAAGATGTTAACTTTTAAAGAAATGGTGAAATGGTTACCTGAAGATGAGCTTAAAATCAAACCTGTGAAAAACCTCCTCGCTCAATTTCCTGAAGATAAGCAACACAAGCACTCAAGGTGAAGTTGATCCGACAAGAGGTTTCATCCCACGTGGACATATTTGGCAATTCATTTACTGAGGCGGCAAAGGGGTAACCATTTTACCCCCTTCAAAATCTCAAAAGTGACCTTTTAAACCTTACCAGAGTCACTTCATACCCCTAGAAAGTAAGAATAAAAGTACTTCAGAGACCAATTACATTAATTTGTGAAACTTCGATGGGCAACAATGACATTAACCCATATTTAAATATTATCTTGTGTTAATCTGGGTATTAATTTATAAATTATAATGTGTTATTATTATTTTATGTTTTTTTTAAAAAAAAATTGAACCCTAATTCTCATTTTTTTTTGCGTCGACAACATTAGCTGCACTTCAAGGACTAAAGGGTTGAACAATTTATTTGCATTTGTAAATTTGGATTGTGCTTTTGTCATACTTTAAAATTTTATTTAAGTTTGAAACTAATTTAAGTGTGTAATGTTTAGTTTAGTTTTTTTTAATAGGTTAACCTATGTTTAACATATTTATTTAATAGGTTAGATTTGGGAACTAGTAAACATGTCAACTTGATAACAATTTAATTATCTGAAATGTTGAGTTGGATTGAAAATATCGAACTCATTTAAATAAACAAGCTAGTTGGATTGGATTGAAATGTTCAAACAAATTAATAAATAACTCCGACTCCAACTTCAACACCATGGTCAATTTATCGTCAGCTTTAATATAAATAATTGTTTATTAATATACTAGTTGTGAGACTCATGTATTACATGAGTTAGTTTAAAAAAATGTTAAATATAAAGGTCAAAATATTTGAGAACTTTGAATTTATAGAAAAACAAGAAAAATAATGATTTATTATAATAAAAATGTTTTTTATCTTTTAAATTTACACAAATAATTTAAATAAAGAAATAAAGAAAAGAAACTAATGAGCTTTAATTTTGGAAATTTTAAAATTAAAATGTAAGTTTATTAATGAAATTAATATTCATTTATTACTACATTTATTGTAATTATTACATTAAATTATTATGTGGAGTTTAATAAAATAGAAAAATTCATAAAATAACATGTGAAAAAAAAAATTAATTCAAAATAACCACAAAATGACAATTGACAAATTGAACGAGAATGTGACAAGTGACAAAAAAAAACATTCATTTATTAGAGAAGATTTACATTTATAATATCTTTTGATATAAATAAATATTCATAAATTCAGATCCAAACACTAAATCCTTGACTTGGAATCATATCTTTATTGATAAAATAGCTTTTAGAGCATCCACAACCCTTTATTATACATACAAGTATACCGACATACAACCCATTCACAATGGGCACAAAAGTCTTTATGCCTTCTTAAAATTGACCTTAAGGGGCGTGTTATTTATGACCAGACTTAAACGTCCAGTTTTAGCAATCGTATGACCAATATCTCCACAAGCTGGCCTGCAAGTGTTGCACACAGTGGGGCAAAACACTAGCTTGTACCCATCCTCATGCTTCTCTATCTTGAACCAATTGCTTATGGTTTGTGGGCCTGGGTTCCCTAAGCTCCCATGGCTCGATATCTCTCGTTGCCCATTCACACCCTGATCAATTCGCCAAATTGCAGACCGGGTACAAGCCGTTGAACCTGAGAACCTAATGTTTAGATCGGTGGATTCAAAGATGTTGCCGTCTTTGTTTGCCTTGACCGGTATGAAAGTCAACGGTAGCCCATTTTGCAGATCGTTGTTTTCTTGCACCACGTCACTAGGGCATGTCTCGTTTATGGTTGTGGGCACTAGTTTAATGCCCCCACCCAGGCCACGTGTAGTGGGCAAGATGTAGTAGCCGGTGCCTGACCGGATGATATTCCCGTCAGTGTCACGAACAGGAACTAGGGATTGGGCAGAAGAAAGTGAGAGCGTGGAGAAGACGATGAAAATGAAGAGTGGTGTCTTCATTGTGTGCATTTTATCCGTGGTAATTATGATTGTGATATCCATGACATTGATGGAGCAGTACTTATAGTCAAGGGATGATGTGGTGTCACGCGGTGGTCAAATTCCTTACGCATGTATTCTAAAAATATCTATTAATGGCAGATAGATACAAGCCAGGCTAAATGTAGTATGGTATGTTCTTTTGAACGAAGATAGTTTAAAAAAACTTAAAATTCAAATAAGGGTTTTCTATAAGTTCCTTTTCACACCCCTGAATTGATCTTATGTCTTTTTGTTGTTTTTTTTGTTTTTTTTTTTTTATTTTGTTTTTTAGTTGTTTTTAATTCTTTTTTAATTTATATTATTATTATTATTATTATTATTATTATTATTATTATAAATTTCGCATAAAATTTTAAAATTCGGACGATATTTTTTTTGTTTTTAATTCTTTTTTAATTTATATTATTATTATTATTATTATTATTATTATAATTGTTATAAATTTCACATAAAATTTTAAAATTCGGACGACATTATAAATTCAAACGGCTATATAAAACCAGTTTTTAAATATTTTTTTATATTTTAATATTAATATTATTACTGTTATTATTATTATAAACTTCAAACAACATTTTATAAATCGGACATTATAAATTCGAACGACTATATAAAATCGGAACAAAAGCAAAGTTTGTCCCTATTAATTACAGATATTAATTGGTACGGTATTATAATTGTGTATTGTGTGGTGCGTTATAAGGATTGAAAACATTTAGTCGAGCACTATACAATGTTTTCCATGCAGCCAAATGTTCTGATCTGCACGCACATTGTTTATCTTCATTTCTTCAACCATTTTTGATTCATTTGGGGTTAACCTCCTTGCAAATGGGTGACCCTCCATATACATTGCTGGTTTATGATTATGTTCATCATTTTTAACCTTTAACCTCCAAACATCATCTCACTTATAGTAACAAGAGAAAATTTCGAATGGACAATTTGTTTTTCTGGACCCTGTATTTTTTGTGGACGTCTCCAGACCTCTTGATACACCACCCCGATCACACATAAATATAATTTTTGAAATATATCCATATCCATATCCTTTTGTCTCTGTTCTTTTAATAACAACCACGTATCCAAGAGACCGTGCCGTTTCTTGCAACCACTCCGTTAAGTTTTCACGACTGTTAAGTTTTCGGACGATATTTTTTTTTTGTTTTTAATTCTTTTTTAATTTATATTATTATTATTATTATTATTATTATTATTATTATTATTATTATTATTATTATATTATTATTATTATTATTATTTATTATAATTGTTATAAATTTCACATAAAATTTTAAAATTCGGACGACATTATAAATTCAAACGGCTATATAAAACCAGTTTTTAAATATTTTTTTATATTTTAATATTAATATTATTACTGTTATTATTATTATAAACTTCAAACAACATTTTATAAATCGGACATTATAAATTCGAACGACTATATAAAATCGGAACAAAAGCAAAGTTTGTCCCTATTAATTACAGATATTAATTGGTACGGTATTATAATTGTGTATTGTGTGGTGCGTTATAAGGATTGAAAACATTTAGTCGAGCACTATACAATGTTTCCCATGCAGCCAAATGTTCTGATCTGCACGCACATTGTTTATCTTCATTTCTTCAACCATTTTTGATTCATTTGGGGTTAACCTCCTTGCAAATGGGTGACCCTCCATATACATTGCTGGTTTATGATTATGTTCATCATTTTTAACCTTTAACCTCCAAACATCATCTCACTTATAGTAACAAGAGAAAATTTCGAATGGACAATTTGTTTTTCTGGACCCTGTATTTTTTGTGGACGTCTCCAGACCTCTTGATACACCACCCCGATCACACATAAATATAATTTTTGAAATATATCCATATCCATATCCTTTTGTCTCTGTTCTTTTAATAACAACCACGTATCCAAGAGACCGTGCCGTTTCTTGCACCCACTCCGTTAAGTTTTCACGACTGCTAAACACCTAACAAATATAAATATATATTTGGCCAGTTTAAAAGAATTCCACTAAAAAATAACATATAACAACTTACGATTAAATTAAAATTATCTATCAAAAATACGTACCATGTTTGTGTAAAAACTTTCCATAAGGACGGAAGGAACGATCAATAATTTTGTGAATCGAACGAATCGTGCGTTTATATAATGTATAAAGTTAAAGTTATGTCAAATCAGCTTCTTATTATTAAAGATAAAGATAAAGATAAATATATATCAAATCAATAATAATAATAATAATAATAATAATAATAATAATAATAATAATAAACGAATAGTAATATTTCTATTATTAGGTGTACAATAATTACAGCTTCTTTCTCAATATGGGAATCTCTTGAATTTGGAAGATGACAAACAAAAAATTTGTGGTAAATATAGTGGATAAGGAAAAGGAAAAGGAATCCAATATAAGTTCGAAGTGTGTAAAAAAAAAAAGGTTTTAGAATTTTTATTTTTCTTAAAAATAAAAAAGGTTTAAATATATAGCTTAAAAGTTGCTAATGTAAGTTGGAAGTGTGTCAAAAAAAAGGTTTCAAGTTCGAAGTGTGTCAAAAAAAGAAAAAAAAGTTTTATTTTTCTTAAAATCATTATATATATATATATATATATATATATATATATATATATATATATATATATATATGTGTCAAAAAAGATAAAAAACATGATGTCAAATTAAATGTCAATAATTTGATTTGATTGACATTAGGGGGGGTAAATGTGAAAAATGGGGTACTTATAGCACAACCCTTCAAATAAATATCTAGTACTTTTAGCGGGTCGTTGAGTTTAAGACCTCTACCAAAAGTAAGTGGACCCTAAATATATATATATTTTTATATAAACAAAAATCTTTAATACTACGGTAAATTTATAAATTGTAACGTTTCAAAAATCCAGAATAAATTTTTGTATTTTTAAAATAGAATAAATACTTATTTTTATAAAGTTACATTAAAGTCAAACCAATTATTTATAAACCATAATTCAAAATCAAAGTTATAAGAAAGATAATGTGGAATCTCGAATCACAAAACTGTTGATGTGTGTGTATAATCTCGCTTTCGCAATCCGATAAGTACCTGAAAAACATTTAATTCACAACTATAAACACACAACTTAGTGAGTTCCCCAAAATATCACATATATCATATCATAATAATCAGTTGTGGGTGATCAGCAACTCCGGGACTATCATCAGTCCTGAGGACTATCAGCACTCCTAAATATCACATACAACACAACAATATAAACAACTATGGGTTATCAACAACCCTAGGACTATCAGCAGTCCGATGGGCTCAGAACAGCTCTATGGGTTATCGACAACCCTGCAGACTATCAGTAGTCCTGGAGTTATCAGCAACTCAGATACACATATAACAGCAATCGGCAAATAAATCCCTGCTGGTATGGCATGTATACACTATGATATAGGTAATATCGTGAGAATACTCACATGAACGAAGAGCTGAAATTCACTACTCAAAATCCCACAAAATCAGCTACACGAACCTCCTAACCAATCACAAGCTAAATCTAATACTATAGCTCAACACCTCTCCAAGTTTGACCAAAAGTCAAACTGGTCAAAAAATCAACGGTCAAAGTCAACCTCAGCTGACCTCCACGTCGTGGACACCCATAAGCCATGACTTGGAAGCTACATGACAAAACAATCGTGTTAACACCAGCCTCCACGTCGTGGGAACTGGTCCCAACAACTTAATGGGTTAAGCACTTAACCCATAAACCCAAGCTTCCAACTTTTCAAATCTGGTACCTAATAGATTCATAATGGATAAAGTTTCAAACTTTATCCATTAGAATGGTCCAAACAACCAAGAATCTAAACTTTAAGTCTCAAAGGGACTAAGAATACATATTTATCTCTTAATCCCTTAAGTCCAAGTCTCCAACCTTCATATATGAATCAACATGATGTTTAGATGGATAAAATTTCCAACTTTATCCATAATGATGTCACAAACTTTCAAGATCCAAACTTTAATACACCATAATGACCTCAAGAACCGATATAACTTGCATGGCTTAAAGGGAAGTGAAAATATCATAACTTTTCTAGTCCATGAGGTCCAAGAAGCATTCCAAACTGATCAAAAGATGTTGGAGTCCACTCAACTCCAAAATTGCCCACAAAATGGACCAAAAGTTCCAAAAACCACAAATGACAAGATCTAACAAACTAAATAGCAAGATATGAACTTATACTCACAATAGTCCATAAATGAAGTGACTTTGATAGATCCAAACTTAAAATAGCCTTCCTTGCAACCAAAAGAACTATCTTGGTCTTCAAGTGTCATCAAATCACCACCAAAAGCACCCAAAAGTGGTTCAAGTGTAACATCCCAAAAATAAAGCCATAAAATTTCATTTTTCAATCACATAAAAACAGTGCTCCAAACATTATCCATACAAGTTTATCAAAGAAAGTGTATGAGTATTATTTCAAATCATAGTAAATTATAAAATGTGGAAACATGTGGTGCGTGCCCTGCAATCATCCGGAGCTCCCTTGTTTGAAATCCGAAGTACCTGAAACACAAACTAAAAACCGTAAGCACAAAGCTTAGTGAGTTTCCCCCAACATACCACATACAACACAACATATTGTCAGACATATCTGGGTGCCCGACCTACCCTGTCGAACATATTTAGGTGCTCGACCTACCCTGCCAGGCATATCTGGGTGCCCGGCCTACCCCTTCGGTCTATTTCAACCGGATATTGTCAAGCATATCTGGGTGCTCGACCTACCCTTGTCTGGCATATCTGGGTGCCCGATATACCCTTGTCAGACATATATGGGTGCCCGACCTACCCTCCTGTTTATTTCAACCGGTTACGGGGTCTATTTCACCCACCTACCACTACCACATAATATCATAGCATACAAGCACATAAATCACAA